AAAAGTGTTACCCTAATTTTATTAAACATTGAAAAATGTAAGTGGAATGTAAGGCTATGTGGAGATAGGAGTAGAATAAGAAGTTGCCCACAACAAAAGTAAAAGTAGTTATTATAATAAGAAAAGGCTGAAGTGTTCAGTTTTTCACAGGGGAATATATAGCATATACAAGACAGAACACGACATGTTGTTCCAATCACCCGTTTAATCATGATTCAGGGTGCAGTTTGTCCTGTTTTGTGGGTGTGTGCTATTTCCTCAGGTGCCAAGGGAGTGGCTGATTCCTAACCCAATCCATTCCCTCAGATCGCACGTCTTTGACACACCTGTGGTACCAGTATTTCACAGAACAATACGGTGACAGTTAGACCTGATCTCGAGTGAATAAAAGTACATATGAACATTTGAGTACATTACTGAATTGCAAAATGAGTCAGAGATGTCTGTGCTGAGTCACAACTACTGACATGGCTTAATACAACAGTTTAGTATCACTAAAGCCAGATGATTACAAATCACATTTTTATAATACAAGAATATCATAAAAGGCAGGGCAAGATACCAAATGAGCTATGAAAAAAGAAAGATTGCAGCTAAACTGATAATCGGGTTCCTGCAGACGATAAGCAAGCTTGCTTCTGGGAACTGTTCATTTGTCTGCAAAAAATGCATGAATTCTTTCAATTAATTTAACGTTTTGCTCTGCGTGCAGCCTAATGCCGAATGGTGCATCTTGAAAATAACCAGCTCCTCAAACAAATGGAGCCCTGTGCCAAGACAGACATGAATGCAGGAAGAAGCAGCTTTAGTTCCCTTTCCTCTGCCTGCTCCTCCTGACCTGCTTTATTCCCATCGGCTCCGCGCTCTTATCACTGCCTGCCAGATGTGAGTCTGGCAAGGAGCTCAGTAATTAGGTACCGAGATCTCAAACTCTGATCACTTTTGTGCCTTATCTGGGGTGACACCAATCTCCTTGAGTGACATTCTGCCCAAACAATTATATAAGCTAGCCACATTCTCAGCAGAAAGTCAATGCAGTCCAAAAAAAAGAAAAAAAGATTCAGAATGGATGAATGCCGAGGGCAACCTTTCTTTCTGTCTTGTTTTTATGCAATTAAAAAGATGATAGTTGCTTAACGACAGCGATAAAAGAAAAGGTTTTATTTGATTTTTATTCCCACCAAATCCTCTGAAATGCTACTGAAATCAAAGTCAACTAAGAGCAGCTTGGAGCGATAGCCTTTGGACCAAGGAACAGGAGAGACCTGCAGAGAGTCAGGGGGCTTTCTGTCTGCCCTTTGTCTGTTGCATTGGCATTTGCTCAGATGGAATACACACCTTCACCAAAAGCTGCTCTGGTTCTTACATGTTACACAGCCATGTCAACACATGATTTGAATATTTAAAAAACAGACAAAATTTGGAATGAAGGAAGAATAATTTACTTCTGCTACTGACACAATTTCATTTTGAAATTCTCCTCCATTCTATTACATTATTTTTTTTATATGTGCTGTATATCCTTTTATTGTTCCTTTATAAACTGGGTTAAATTACCTAACGGTTGTAGAATTTCAAGGGAAAGAGTGCAAACAGCATGCCGATCTCGAGAAGCAGAAAGACAACCACACGTTCACGTCCTGACACCCCAAGAACAAACTCTATGGGGAAGAGCTTATAAAGCAGCCTCTCTAAGTGGCTGAGAAAGTGGAAAAACATGTGCAGGCTTCCACAGGAACTGTCAGGCATTGTCTTAATGTTGTAGGATACAATGTCAGTGAAGAGGGGGATTAACCAAACTCTGCCCACGCAATTTCACTCTTCTCACTAAAGCATCCCCACCTTCTTGTGTTTTGGAATGCTGTCAGCTTTCCTGACGCACGTGGCTTGTAACGGTCACTGTCAGTTCGCGGGTGCAGTAGGTGATGGATCAGCAACAAGACAACGCAGAAGCCTGGTTTCATGATTTGTGGTGCATTTTGGATGCAGCAGTAAGTGCTTTCTCTGAATGAACCGCAGCATCTGACCACAATTCTCTTATGGATGTTTTCTGTAGTGAATTTATCATACTAGATACTTTAGACCTTTACTGTTGTTTCCTATACTTTTAACATACATTCACTATACTTTATCACACTAAGGAAAACGCAAAAATGGATCCAAACCCAGCCTATTGTGCTTTATTTATGCTTTATCAAATGCTAGAGAAAGGACACAGGAAATCTGTCTGACAGCGATAACACTACCTTCACGTAGGAGTTACTGTATTTGAGGCTCCAGCTGAGGACCATGGACCAAAGCATGAACTGAATCACGCACACCGACTGGTCAGACTGACATCTCCGAAGCTTGCAAAGCTGTGCTCTCAGGCCAAGAAAAGCTGTTTTGGTTAGTGCTTGTAATGCACGCTGTGTGATGTGGTGAACATTCAGCAACACCCTGTGGCTACCGATAACTATTTCCAAGTGGACACATCTGATGCAGGGAAGCCAGAAGAAATACACACGAGCTCCCTGCAAAGCTCTAAACATCAGAGGCTCACAATTTCAGGGAAACAGCTAAAAAAATGCTCCTGGAAAATGTGTTTCTTCACCCAGGGCTTTTTAAAATGTCACTGTGGATTGTTTTTACAGCAACATCTCCATTTTAACAGTTTCAGGAATACATATTTTTTCTGTTAGATTAGTATTCCTACCAAATTTGGTCTTGTGCACAAAACAAATGTGTGTGGTCTACAGTACAGCGAGCCAGCTGTTCACTCTAAGGCACTCTGATTAGGCAGTTTTGTTCTAGGTGACAATATAAACTGACAGATTTTACAACTCAATTCTCACATTTCTAATAAGGTTTTCAGGAAAGCTCCAGTTGTAAGCTCCAGAGTAGTATGCACTCAGGTGTGAATTATTAAGTACAGCAACTAGCACTCATTATTTTTTTTCTATGGCTAACAGGTCATTTCAAGCGGGATGTTTTCATACAGATGCCAGCATCCCAGAAGGCACCCCCATATGAAATTGCTCATACGCCCGACTGGAGGCTCCATATCATGTCTTGAGCAAGATACACTTCCATTCAAACACATAAAGGAACGGTGGTGTTACCTATAGACGGATTTAAAAAAAAAATGTTCTTCTAAATTTCTTTCGGTTTTCTCTTTCAATTCAGGCCAGTTTCAGTTGAACAGCGGATAGTGATAGTGTGAAAGTCTCCCACCTGCTTTCTGATTAATGCATTGCAGAACCCAACCCCCCCCCGAAGCCCTCCTTATAAAGCCAATTATCTTCACTGGGGTAACTGCTTTAGGAGACACACTGGAAATGTGCCAGGCTCCACAATATTTTGAAATCTCCCAACACTCCCTGTATTTTGTCAGGTGAAAAATCAAGATAAAAGCTGTGTGAGAGCTTCTCAAAGCCTTTCAAATACATTAGTGTCTTGAAAACAGCCTCAGACAACTTGCTAATGCAGTTCTGGCAAAATATTTAGCTAGTCTCTTTTCAGTGAACCTCTTAATATTTTCCTTGCCACCGAGTAGTAAAAACATTTATAAAAAAATACAGACGATAGTTTGAACACAGTCACAAGCTTATCTTAGCTCCACAGGAAAATAAGGTTTTAGAGGGCCAGGCATCCCATCTGCCAGCTGACATTAATATTGACTGTACTCAGCAAACGGAAGGGGTGAATTTGAACTGAATGTGCATTGTGTGCACACATTTGTATTTCATTCTCATCATATTGTATATCATGTGAGTGAAACTGAAAAGGTAAGAACATGGAGTAAACCCTTTGTATACCCTGGAACCATGTGAAAGTCAGCACAGCAGCTCCATGCCACTGGCTCTTGAAGATAAACGGTGTTAGAGGGACACCATCTGGCCAACTGCATGCACGTCCACGGAGGTGTTTTAGGATTTTCATGCTGCAGAAAAACTAAGAAACAGCAATTTAGGATATTGACATGATGGGTCCTGGTTTCTTTTGCCTATCTGCCGAATGGTGATAAAATATCACTTAATATTTGATCCTCCCTTTGAGCACTGACACTTGATGGAATATCTTATTGTATATGTTAGTCCTCTTTTGTTCATATTAAAAGTTAAACATCAGGTATAGTATCTGATACAATGCTGTATAAGCAGTTTTAGTCATGACAAAAGAAAACTGTTTAAGACCTGAATCCATCAAATCATAGACATGAAATCAATTCACTTCGATACTCGCACATTCCTATCTCCTGTTTTGTGAAATGCAATTTTATTTCTTCATTACTTTTTAAATACTTGTCAATAGTAGAGATTTATATTACTTAGATCAACTTGCACACAGAATATGTTGCTCTACAGAGACATTTGTTAGAGGTTACTCAAAACTGCTTTGCATGCATGCAAAATTCACTACATTGTAAACTTCAAATTGGTTAGGTTAGAGCAGAGTCCACAGAGCTGCTGGATAATGGTTTTACAACAGCTTGTGAAAAGCAGCCTTGAAACATCTATCCATTTTCTAACTGCTTTATTCAATTCAGGGTCAGGGGGTGAGCAAAGGGCATAAGGCAGGGTACAACCTGGACAGGATGCCAGTCCATTGCAGGGCAGATACACACACACTTACACCAGGGCCAATTTCCACAGAACCCAAGTAACCTACCAGTACATCTTTGGAGTGTAGGAAGAAACCTTAACCTTTCTTAAAAATCAAAATCGGAGTGTAGGAATAAACCAGAGCACATGGTTTCTTACAAACTCCACACAGATGGCACCCCATGTCCAGGCCTGAGCCCAGGGGCTCAGAGCTGCAAGGCAACAGTGCTAACTGCCATGCCACCCAGCCTCGACACAGCTACAATTAATTCTTAACTCTAAAACATGATTCAAATTGTTTTTATTGAATTGTAGAAAAAAAAAAGTTGCCATAAGCTGAGTGATATTCTACATTGTGGCTCCTTCTGAACATACAGTATGAAAGCTTAATTCTACTTATACACTACAGGATGAGATATATATCAATCTCTTGCACTTCAGATCATATGTGCATCTAAGAAAATGAAACAGCATTTTAAAAGTTATTTTGCTGCGATGTGGAAAATCAGACTTTTCCAAAAGTGACTACTGCATGCTTTTTTTTTGTCCTAAATAATATACAGTTATCTATTATCTAAGTAGTTCATCTACAGCAGGGCAGATTCAAAACATAAATCAAATTACATGGAAAAATTTTAAAGTAAAACGGTGACATAATTCCTGTTGCTGCTAACCCTCATACAATGAAAAAAAGAGAAGCGTAGTTCAATGATTGAATATAGATTTTTCCTAGCCTAGACACGTGTGATTAAGTAATAAAGGCACAGAATAATGAATTAATCTTTGCTCTTTTCAGTAATACATTCTTAACAACAGTATTTTGTTAAACTTTTTTCAGTATTTGATAGCCAGTTTGTGGGTTTCTTATGAAAAACTTCAATAAACATATCTTAATGTTATGCAACTATCCATATATAGAACATACCATTAAGTTCAATATTGTCTGTGACTTCTTTATTCCCAGTTGCTGATGAGGCTCCATGGGACACCTGCTCAGTTCAGGACCAGCTCAGTTCTGTCAGTTTGGATCCGTTGAGGTGAAGTTACTGATGTTATTCATGCTGGGTAAAAACGCTAACCAGGAGTGTTCGGTAACACAGCTGTTCCTTAAGCCATTCCTCATGAATTTACTGATTTTCACCCCCAGATTAATTACTTTCTGTGGGTAGCGGGCCTTCTCTTGCGATGCCCCAGAGCTCTGGGATCTGGTCCCCAGGGATAACAGAGAGTCACCCACCCTGAGGGCATTTAAATCTAGACTCGAAACCTCTCTGTTCAGAAAGGCCTTCTACTCGTGTCGTGTCTGTGTCTGCTCCATGTTCTACCTTCTGCTGCCCTTCTAAGTGCTTGCCTCTCGTATTTGTGCTCATTCTGTAATTTGCTATATTTATAACTGTAAAACACTTTGAGATGCTACTTTTAAAGGTGCTGTATAAGATGTTTATTATTATTGATATTATTTTTAGTTCTGCTTCCAGAAAGTACATGTTTGCCACAACCCTTTCCAGGAATGAGTGGTTTGCTGATAACAGGCGGGTGGATGGGTTGACAGGTTTTATTTTAGATATCACCATAAAACATATTGAAAACACATATTTCTCTCTACAGCAAAATGTATTTAACATTAAAACAGAAATTAAACTACAGACTCAACTCTGATTATCACAGCAGTCTCATCTAATTCAAACAGCTGAAGTCAGCAAAAGCAGTCATATTCAATTTGGAAAAAGAAATGTTATTTCCGTTCTTTCTATGTTAATACATGTTCAAATTAAATTACCTAGAAATGCACTTTTGATTAACATTGCGTTCCTCTTATGTTTTTTGTAAAGGCTTATTAAATGCCACTGTAAGACATTGTAGTGTGCAGACTCCACATCTACACAATACCTTTATGCATATGGACTGAAAGGATTATGCAGAGATTAGGTTGCCTGAATAACTTCACACAATGTGACTGCACCAAAGTAACATTGTGTTCAAGGAAGCAGCCTTACATGTAGGGACACATAGTGGACACACATCAAAACAAACCTATTAGCTTCTGCAATGGACACTCCAGCTATGCACAGTGAGGTGACTACCTATAGAAGTGGCTTCTTACTGAATGGGGAACAATTCTTTTTTATTTATAAAATATACCATATAGCATGATAAAAATGTTTTGAAAAGAACATTGAATAAAATTAGCATTTTATGTTAATTGTTTTTACTTTGTTTTGCAGATGTGCTTATCCAAGGTGACATATATAATACATAAAGTAAAAATACAATGAATAATTCAAATACAGGAGAGAAAATGAACACTGTGGAGAACAGAGAGGCAGAACAGGTGAGTACAATACCTGTGTGGGGAAAAGCGAGGCAGCAAGGAATCTTTGATTAGCGTTAAGAAGGAACATCACTATGCAGAGTACAGTATCAGCTGGTGGAAATGTACTCATGTCCTGATTCAAGACCACTTTTAAATCTACATAAAAGTCTAATAGGAACACTGTCAAGTCATTCTACATATTTTTTTTTAAAGGTAGGATTTAAACCAGTAACACTGCAGTACATACACAACTTGCGCTCTTACTGTTCAACCCTAGCGGTAGTGAAAGAAAAAGCATCCTGTGTTCTGGAATATGGGCTCAGGCAGTTTTGAGGTTGCTGGGCTTGAGCTGCTAGGTTTGCCCCTTGAACAGCCTGGTTCAGACTCAAGTGTCCAGATAGCTGCTGACAAGTCCAAAGTCTGGATCGAGCATTTCTCAAAGCAGATGTATTGTTTCATCCAATTTCAACACAAAACACGTTAGGTCTGAAGAGAAGTGGGTAATCAGATCTCCAGCTTGACTATATGCACCCGAACCTTAAAATGCCTTCAGTGTGGTCAAGGTCCTTGTGCTGACATCCCACAGATCTACAGTATACAGCTTTCTGCACTGATAACGCGGTGTTAGTAAAAGACAGGGCCATCTTGAAGCACTTCAGTGTCCATCATGGGCTCAGGTTTTACACTGCCTCCTCATGTTCTGGTTTGCTTATTTAACCCCATGGTTCAAGTCTAAGCAAGTATTAGCTGTGCAGTACGGAGCCCGGGAGGGGCCATCGGTAGGAAAAAAAGTTATATCGAGGGAACGATTTACAATTCCTGCGCATGAAATAACTAAACCGTTCCCTTGTTTTGTCGCAAGGACAGGTGTGGCAGTAGCAGTGAAAGAGAGGTGCATTCCTCACTAGTAGTTCAAGAGTACAGTAGCTACAATGCCCTAATTACTCATCCCCAAACCAAAATAAAACTTAATCAGTTCATCTTTATCCATTATCCTAATCTACAGCAGTGTCAGACGGTTAGGCTTTATTGTACCGATATAAAAGACACGGTAACGTGTTCACTTGCGTTTGATAGCGTTGTTGTCAGGAGCCGGGGATATGGCTGGCGTTTTAGAAACCTTCTATGTGCCTGCGACTACCGCGACACAAAGAAAACCAAGGAAAGAGTTAGACAACATTATTTCGTACGCACGAATTAAACAAAACGAGGGAATGATTTAGTTATTTCGTGCGCACGAATTGTAAACCGTTCCCTCACTATAACTTTTTTTTCCTACCGATGGCCCCTCCCGGTCTCCGTAGTGCAGTAATACTGGTCTTTGGTATTACAGAGCACACCTGTTGCGGTGATCCAGGCACAGGACAAAGAACTGTTCTTGACTTAATCTTCTCTGTAGCCTGTGAGCACTTTATTTGCAGCGTAAGAGCGCATAATGACCCATTGATAAACAATTGGGGTATTTCATTACCTGAAAAAATCTTGCCCTCCTATTTAGCAATAAAAAGACGCCCATATACCGTTCAACTGTACAAAGAGCCACCCGATGAAGGTAGCCGAGAATAAAGACACCAGTGCAAGTCTGTGAGCGGATATTTACCTACAGGCGGAACACGTGAGCCAGATCCTTCATCCCGAACATCACGTTTGCCGGCCCTACGCCCACAGCGGGGTTATTACAGGTCAATCCCAGTGACGTCACAAGGGACCGCTCCCTGGTTCAGCCCGCACCACGTTCGGCCCCGCCCCACGCCCCGGTCCCGGAGCGCTCATTGGCCGCTTGCAGTTGCTAGGGGCGTTTATTTCCGGTTTGGCGAGGGCCGGGGCTCTCGGGTTGCGAATAGTAGCGGGTTTCCCCCCCTCGCGCGCGGCTCCCTGTCACAGCGCTCGTCTGCCGCGGCTCCGCGTCGCTCTCCCGTCCGTCACACGCACCGCTGTCCGTGCCCAGAAGGATGACCGAAGGCTCGGTGAACAAGCCGGCGAACGGGGAAGGCTGCCACCGCCCGGCCAACGGGGTTAAGCCGGGGAGGAACGGCTGCGTCCGGGGCCACTACGTCTACCAGCAGGCGCCGCCGCCCAAGCACGGCTACCCCGAGGACAAGGTGAGGCCCTGCCGGCTGGCGGAGGAGGGCACGGCCCGC